TAATAATAATATATAATAAAAAAATATATAAAATAAAAAAAAAAAAANAAAAAAAAAAAAAAAACCAAATAAAAAGTAGATATTAAATATTTAATGTAAGAAATTTTTTTTATTAAAAATTTATATTAACAACTCATAAATGTTATAATAAAATAGTTATAAAATACAAATAAAAATATTTTCTTAAAATTTTCGTTAATTTACTATATTACTAATATATTATAATATTATATAATTTAATAAAATTTCAAATAAATAAAATATTTAAGATAATGATAAAGATGTTCGGACAAGTTAAATAAAAAATTTAAAAAGATTAAGATTCTAAAGTAAAACAAGAATAATAATATGCAAAAATATTCATTATTTTTCATTCAGATTATTTTTCAAATTATAAACAAGACAGAATTGTCTTTATCTCGTGCAAAATTAAATTACTTATAAATTATTAGATATGTTTTGATAGGCATTTGATAGACATTTTGTTTAAAATTTTTGTAAAATTATTTTTTAAATTTTCTATCTGGATGTTGTCCAAACATTTTCTATTTTAAATACAATTTTATTACCTGATCAAATTCTAATAGTTCCTGTACTTTTTCTTGCATAATTTTTTGTAATTTCACAGCACACTGAAATATAAAAATATAAATAAATAATACAAATTAATTAATTAATAATAAAAATTTTTAATTAATATTTTACCTTATAAAGTCTAGATGTATGAATATTATATTTTTTTGCATTTTCAAACATTATATTCATATCACCAGCTACTTCACTTACAGTACCATATTCACCTTTCTATAAAAATTATATGTAAATATATAATATATAAATATATTCTATAAATTATTATATATAAATTAAACATACAATATTAAATGATTTTTATTTTTATTATTTACCTTTATCTTAGTACGAATTTGTAATAGAGAAATAGGATTTTTAATCGTTTTATAGTAATCAGGATATAATCTTTTTGATGGTAGTTTCCAAAAATATTCGCTCATTCTAACTCCTTATAAAATAAAAAAAAAAGATTAATTAATATTATAATATTTTAAAAAAAATTTCATAAAATACCTTGATTATTAGGTGCTGTTCTAATAGTCTGAAATAATTGCCATTGTGGGTTATCAGCTTCTTCAGTTTCTGCAGGTTCTTCTTCTTCATCATCACTTTCTTCATCTTCATCTGGCAATGTTGCAGTTTGAGCTATTAAAGATTGTGCCATAGTGCGACTTCCTCTTTTACTTCGTGTTGATGGTGCAGTTGTTGCAATTTTTGGAACTGCACTGCTTAATCCAATATCTTGTTTTCTTGCTGCTGCAGTAATAATTTTTTTTAGAAGTTTTGCATCTTTGTAAATTTGAGAACCAGGCTCATTAAATTGGCAAGCATTACGGCACATTAACATTAAATCTTTTTCCATATCTGTAATGCTATTATAGACTCCTTCTTGAATTTTTCTTGCAACTGTTTTTAAATCTACTGGTGTTTCAATTACATCATAATATTCTGGATATAACTGAAAAGAAAAATTGTTTATATAATAAATTTGTTTAAAACAATGATTCATTAATACTTCACCAGTAAGAATTTTTCGAACTTTTTTAGATGGCTTAAGTTGAAACATTGTATGTAATGGTCTATTATTGTCAGCTGGATCTGTTGCTGTCATAATTGCTGCAAATAAATCTTCAAATTGTTGCATTGTTTCTTCATCAGGATTTGTAGAACTTTCTGATGTATCTTCTGCATCTTCTTGTTTTGTTGTAGCTTTCCGAGCCTAGATAACATTGTATTAAATATTGATGAATAAATATACATATATAAATATATATATATATATATATATTACTTATATATTTTTACTCACTAATCGTCCCACTTTTAAAATAAGTTTTCCTTTAGGTTCTGAATCTTCGTATTCTTCCATAATACGATTTTTTGTATTTATGCATAATTCCCAAAGTTCAGTAGCATCTTTATATTCAGGAGATGTACGCTATTTTAATGAAATAATTTTAATAACTTAAGAGACTCAAAAATTAAAATATATTCTATATTTTGTTAAACAATATATATATTTATTATATAAATATATATACCATATAAAAGGCTTTTGCATTGTTAACCATGAGTTGAATATCAGCTGCTAAATCATCCATATCCCTATATTCATCTGTTCTTAGCTTTTGTTGAACTTTTAATAGATCTATAGGATTTGTTACAACATCATAATAACCTGGTTCTTGTCTACGTTTAGGCACACGTATAAATGCATCACATAATAATGTTCCATCTTCTCTTTTTTGATTACGTAGTACATCATATAATTGTTGGCACAAGTCACTCTAAATGTTAAATAAAATAAATTTGTTGGTTTATTAAATTTATATTATTAAAATTTTTTATTAACAATATTTTGTAATAACAACAATAACTTACAGGATCTAATTTTTTTCGTCTTTTTGTTGGTTCAGGTGGTATATCATCAGCATCATCTTCTGTGCCTCGACTTGCAACTGAAGATGTTCTACGGCGCTTGTTCATCTTGAACAATCTTATAAAATAAGCAACATAAACATGTATACAAACAAAAATATACCAATACTTTATATTAATATGAGATTCATGTATCACAAATTCACATCTAAGTCATAATGTCATTATAAAGGAGATATACAGGATATATACAGGAGAAATTAGCTATATGTTGTCTAACTAATACAATATAATTAAATCACTTGACTGCACAAAATAAAGATGTAAACAAAAATTTTATAAAAAGAATTTTATACACAATATATTAATTTACTAAGTATGTTACTTTACAAAGAAAGGCGTACGTATTAAGTATGAAAATAATCGAGATACACAACTTCAGCTTAAGAAAATTTCGCCGCCATGATATGTCGCCACTGTGCTTCAAAATGCAGAAATATACAGCATTTTAATTTTTGGATGTAATACTGCAAATAAATCCATCTTGGTTGAAACTTAATATAAAAACTACAAGATAATCGCATTTAAATAGCTAATGAATAACGAAAGAATATGAACTTCATAACAAACTATTAAAGTAAAATTTACCGCCATATCAAAACCTCACAGTATTTTTAATATTGTTCGTTCACGAATATTATCATTTTTTCTTTTGAGGCACTCATGTTATCATTTTCTGAAATCCTCACCTGTCGTTAAAATTTGTATAAAAAGTTTTTCATTAATATACAACATGTAAAATAAAAGCGTTATAAATATACTACACTTTTCATCCGCAACACACGATGACACACGACTTGGCTAACGCCATGCCGTAAGCAACCGCGAGTTTATAATCATACGAATTGAACGATCCTATAGCTAGAAATAGAGACTACGTTTCATATATCCTTTCATCATAAATTTACTTAGTCGATAAAGTAGATATATTTTAAATATTTCATGTTTTATAGAAAATAATTTTTTATATTTTTATTTTACTAAATAAATATTTTAATTAAATTTAATTAAATTTTATATAAATAAAATATTTATTTCTTTTATTATTTTAATTATTTTAATTATATATTATACATTCATTTTGTATTATATATTAATACATTCATTTTGTTTAGTTTATTGTATTTTTCATAATATAATTTTATTTACAAAACTATGAATTAATATTAATCAAGAAAAAGAATTCAATTTAAGATAATATTTGTCTAATAATATATATCATAAGTATAATGTTTGATTAAAATAGTTTATATAAATATAAATTATTGAATTTAAATTGAAAAAAAAATTAAATAAAATTATTATTTACTAAATAAAAATTTATTAAAACATATAAATAGTTATAAATAAATGTATAAAATATTTTACATACGTATTTAATAATAACCGCTACTATTTAAAAATCGATTATTATATATCGATATTATAAAATTCGATATTTAAATCTATATAGATAATATATAACATGAAACATTTGTGAATACATAGAACTATGATCTAACCATGTTAGTAGCCATTTCGCTTTTCTTGGAATTGGGATCGGCAAAGAAAGTAAGATTTTACGCAATAGACATCATTACTAATTATTAGTATTAATAAGAAGAAAAATTATATTATTAATATACTATTAATAAACTATTAACTATAGTAAAAATAAATGTATTTCATTTTGTTAATTAAAGTCTTTTTATGAAATTTACTTTATTAGATAACTATACTGAATACAGTGATCAATATATAACATATTAAAAATTCTAAAATTTTTAGTTATTAATATTTGTGTTATATATTTTTTGATAATTTTATATATATAATAAAATTTATATTTTCTCAAATTAAAAATTTAATCTAATATTTTGTTACAATATTTTTTGTATATATATTAATAAATAAAATTATGATTTTAATAAAAAATTAAATTTGATCATTAAAAGTTACTACTATTTTGTAAATTAATAAAAATTATATTATCATCATAAAAGAAAATCATAATTTTTATAAATATCAATATTTCTTTAAGATATTAATATTCATTTTTAATTATTTTAAATTTAATTTTTGAAAAAGCTCATATTAATAAGGAAAAATATATTTCAGTATTATGAAACATAAATATAACAGAATTGTACATATTTTTTATTTTTAATTTAATTTATATATTTTTAGCATACAATGGCAAATAAATTATTGCTATCATATCTACGACAAAGTACTTCAATGTGTGTTCGTGGATTGTCAGCAATGCAATTTCCTAACAAAATTGGTAATAGAGATGTAGTAGGTAATGGATGGAATGGTGAAGAAGCTTATTTAGATCGAAGTGATTTTCCTCTGCCTGCAATTCGTTTCAAAGCAAATACTCCAGATATAATGGTAAAATAAATATCCATAATACAATAAATAAATATTCTTCATTTATCTCTATAATTTTTTAGATATTATTAATAAATATTATTTATAAAATATCATTTTTAAATATTTGTTTTGTAATATTTAGATAAATAATATTTAGATATATTAATATCTTAATATTTTGTTTTTAATTTATATTTTGAATATATTATTATACTGTAAAATTTCTTTAAAATATTACATATTTTATATAGATCATATTATATAAAATTAAGCTAATTATTTTAATATTTTTATGTAGGCATTACGAGAAAAAGAGAAAGGTGATTGGAAGAAATTATCAATAGAAGAAAAAAAAATATTATATCGAGCCAGTTTTCGTCAAACATTTAGTGAATTTTTAGCCCCAACAGGAGAATGGAGAGGACATATTGGAATAGCACTTATAGGTGTAGCTTTTAGTCTTTGGATATATATATTTCTCAAAATTTATGGTAAGTTTGTAAATGTTTATAATATAATAGTTTGTATATTTCAATATAAGTTTATAAATATATCATAAGATTTTATAAAAAAAAATTATTCTGTTAGTAATAAGAATATATCAAATTGAGAAATATATTATAATTATTATGATAATTATAAAAAATAAATTCTCCTAATTAAGAAAAATAATGATATACATATATAAAAAATTTTAATTCAAGAAATAAGATATTTTTTGTGATTATATATAAAAAAAATAATTTTTCTATTATTAAAATACCTAATACAAAAATTATTAATAATAATATTAGTCATTTTTATGTACTTAGCTACTAGTCTTATTATATTATTATAGTCTTATTATACATTTTTAATTATTTTTAATCTAATTTAAAAAAAATATATATACAATTAAAAATTTTCTTTTCTCTAAATTTAATATTGTAATATTTTATATACATATATAATAATTTCATATAATTAGTATATTTTTAGTAATATTTAAATATAATATATTAAATAACATTTAAATATAATACTTGTTTCTCTAATATCATATAATATGGAATCTTGCAGCATTGCCACCATTACCAGAATCATTTAATGAAGAAAACAGACTTGCACAACTGGAACGTATGAAATTACTTCAAGTCAATCCTATTGATGGAATTAGTTCAAAAAATTAGATTTAATTTATCTATGTTTTTAAAGCATAGCAAAAAGTACAGTCTACTATACATTAACAGTTGTTTAATATAAACTTCTGTCTGTATAAGGTTAGTAAGAAAAAACTTTAATAAATTGAACATCTCTTTTGAGATATAAAATAATTTTATTATGTAATTTTTGTGTCTATCTTGTATAAACCATAAATATAATATTATTGCTCGTATATATGTTTTTGCTTGTATCAATTTAAAACCTCAGAATATCTATCCAAATAAATGTCCTAAAACAATTTCAGTATTTATAGCAGACAATATAGTATTTTGTATAAATATTACGTTTCTACAATTATTGTTTTAAAAAATTATTATTTTATTATAATAGTAATATAATTATATATATATATCCAGTTATTCTATTTTCATTTTTTTTTCTAGTTAAAATTATTGTTATTTTTATAAAACATATTAAACATATAAGATTATTTTTTTTTGTATAAACATAAATTTGAATATATATATCCAAAAATAAAAGAAAAAAGAATTCTATGAAAATTCTATGACTTATGGTTACATAAGTTTTATTATTTGAACTAATTGAAAATTAGTTTACACAAAAAAATATCTATTGTAATAAATAATAAATTTTAATGTAAAAAGATATATAATAAAATATATTTTCATTTTTGATCTTGCAGACAGAAAGCAGAAGGAAATATATCGCTATATGTGTATGTATTAATTTTTTTTAAATCAAATATTTTCCGCATTTTTTTAAATATAAAAATGAAGAAATAGTGAAACAATTTAATTATATCATAAATTACAAATTTGGAAAATAAAATTTAACTTATTTCTTTATGTTTTAAAATTTTAATTTTTATTGATATTATTTCATTCTCTTTTATATATTAAAATGAATATATGAAATATATGAAATGTCATTCATATATGAAATATGTCAATTCTCATATATTTTAATATGTTTTTTCAATTTTTATGTTTTATTGTTTTATATTATGAAATTTTTAAAATAAATTATAACTATATTATTTAAAATTAAAAATGTGACAATTCGAAAAAACCTGTTATTACTGTTTATTATATTTTTAATGTTTTACAATTTTAAATAATTTTTGAAAATAAACATAAATCACAAATTGTTAATAATAAGTTTTTACGAAAAATTTGATTCTAATTAAAAAATTTTTGCAGATTACTTAACGATAATAACAATAACAACAGTAATAATAATTACATAGCTTTAAAAATATGAAGTTCAAATTTTACTGTTCACATTCGTACATCATACATATGCATATATATATATGTATGTTGTAACAAGTAATTGACATCCTAATAATAAAATTGAATCACAGTTTATAATATTATCTATGAACATGTTTTGTTAAATAATATTACACAATACTGCATAAGAATTAAAAAATTTGAAGGAAAGTGAATACTAGCATTATTTATCTCTGCACTTGAATTTAATAGGAGATATTGCTGAATCATTACAACTTGCATTAACACAAAATGCAATCCGGACAAAAATTCTTAATTAGTAAACATTTCTTATTTTTATTTTTTTCAGTTTGAGGAAATTTATGTTGAAAAACGGAATGTAATTTTCAATAATAAATTAGATATAAGATAATTTCACAAGTATACATTTGAAGTTTTCAATAAAGGCCTTTTGCATATATATATATTGTCACATATAAAATTTTTGAAATGTTGCTCAAATTTTAAAGATAAGAATATGTTTAAATGCAATGTCTGATTCGTGCATTGAATTCGTGTAACATTCGACCATGATGTATATACTTATTATTATTTTTATAATATAAAAATAATGTATTATTGTTCAGGGGAGACTAAAAATTATAAACTAGTGTTACGAAATCAGTAATTCTGTATAAAAAGTAAAGCATTATGCACAATTACGATTTTAAAGAACGCAGTAAAAATCTAAAGTTTATCATTTTTTTCTTCAATGAGTTAATATTTTCAAAAATATTTTTTATTCAAAATTTGTTGATCATCAGCACACGAATTTATAATTTTATTAAAATTCGAAAGATATACCAAAACACTTTCACAACTATTGAGCTTATATTATTACAGAAAAAATACGTAATTCTCACATACATGGACTAATCCATGATTTCAAATGATAAAATTATTATAACAAACACTACTTTAGATACGTACAAAATAAAAAATGTAGTAGGTAACTCTTAGACTTATTTTTCTATGTTCCATAATATATATTACAGTATTTACAATAGGTAAGTCCCAATATCACCAATTTTTCTGTTACCCCTTTGTATTATAAGAATATAGTTCCGTATAGAAAACTAAGTCTTTATCATTATTAGAGCTTGTTTTACAATTTCATGAAATCTTTAAGAAAACTGCACTGTAAATAATCTTTGTATATATCGTTCGTATTATATAAATGTATTACAATGAGTTTACCGTGATTATGAACACAATTGCTATTCAAAGATTGCAATAAGCTTATAATTTTTTATAAACAGTAATTAATAAAATATTACATATTTTTAAAAATATTATTTGTAATATGTGCAGTAATGCAAAATAAAAGTAAAATTAACCAATTTATATTACAATTCTGTACGTCTTTGGTATATAAATTTTCGTACAGAATAAAAAATGTTTCTGATGAAATCAAGAACTTAACTACACCAGGGTCTCTTTTTTGCTCATGTAAGAGAAAAATAACATAGAGTTTGTTAACTCCACATAATTATAGACACAGAGCCCCTCTAATTAGAAACGATAATTAGTTGCGCGATGAAAGTTAATCAATGTCTTTTCACCACACGATTATGATATTGAGCTCTCTACTTAAATATGAAATAAAGTCCAACATTATTTTGCACGTTTCATCACCGTACACAATCTCCAGTACCACGAGGTGTAATACACTGTTTTTTTCGTTAACGGTTTGTGACCTTGAACTTGGACTATGGCTATTATTATTACTTCCATTACTATGAAGAGAGTGTTTTGCTTTACTTTGTCCACTTATATTATTATTATTTATTCCACGATGATGATAATTTCCTCTGGAATTATGATGGTGATTACCTGTAGTAAATATTAAATTTTTAAAATAATTTAAAATTTTAAAGTATGAAGTTGATGTTCTTAAGTTTATGATAAATAAATAATTACTTTAATTATTTAAATATTTTAAAATATTTCCATTTTTTTTATTTGTAAATTAAAATACATAAACGTAATAAAATTGCATACCATGAGCAGTTGGTTTAAATGATTTTTTCCATTGTGAATGATGATGAGTATGCTGATTATTATATACATGTCTTTCTTTATTTCTATCTTCTCCCTTTCCACTAGTGTTAGGAGAATTTCCACGACTACATTCAGAATCCTAATAAAATTGAAATTACATAAAAATAGTTGAAAATATGATTAATTTTTTTCAATTTTGAAAATTTTTTACCGTATCGCTAGCTGGAGCAGATAGTGTTGAAGCATCAGAACCAGTAGAACTTGACAATGAATCTACTTCACTCAAAGGTAGTGGGAATGTTTCTTTAATCCATTTGCGGTATTCTATTACTTCATCTGTCACTCGAATTATTCTTCCTAGTATACTAATTAAAGTATATATTTAAAAAACGATCAATAGAATTATAAAATATATAAATAATATAGAAATATTATAAATAATCTTACCTTACTTTATTTGCATCATTAACTAAAATATTTAAAGGACTAACTGCTTGTGAAAGGACATAATAAGCCCAATCAAATGCATCTTTTACATATAGAGCACCATAACTACTACGACCAATATCATTTCCTGGTGTAAGTGGATCTTCTATACACAATAAAGAAGGTCGATGGCCATCTATCATATCCCTTTGAACCTAAAATTAATATAAAATTTAATTTAATTCTATTTAAGAATTAATAAATAAATTTATTTATTTAATCAACTTTTACTTCAATTATTCTATTTATTGTAATATAATATATATTTTAAGTAAAATTGATAAATTCTAAAATAAATGTTCAAACTTTTTAATAATGATATATATGTCTAAAATGATTATATAACATTTGTTATTTTTAAAATATTTTGTTGTTTACTTTTAAAAAAAGTAACATTTTTTCATGTTAATTAGATTAATTAATTCGATTAATTATTTTTTTAATATTCTATTTAAATTTACAATTTTTATTTATTGAACTATATATTTATATAAATCTATATAAAATATAATGATATACTTTACCTCTTCCTTTGATATGTAAGTACCACCATCTTTTACACGAATTCCTGTTTTAACATAATTAAACTTCCTACCATATAATTCCAAAAATTCTATTAACAGCACCCCAAGATTAGCATTTGAACAATAAGCATTTTGTCTAGGATGTAACTGAAATAAAAATTTATTAATATAAGAAAATAAATATTATATTTTCTTAATATACAATTAATATTATATTCATATTTTATATTTGATAGAAAATTTATGTAATAATCAATTCTTATTTAATATATTTAATATTTTTTTAAAATAAAAATATTAATATTTTACCTGTAAAAAACTGATAGTCATAAGTATTAAACTATATGATGAGATTCCACCAGTAAACACTTCATTCAGGTCTCTTTGTAACAAAAATTGCTTTAATACCATAACTAGCTTTTCTAGCACTGGAAACCTCTTTTTAAAAGAATTTATCAATTCTGCAGATTTAACGCCATTATTCATATTAAAACTGATATCTACTTTAATTTCAGTTTCTTTATCAGTTAACTTGACAATTGGAACACTAGCTTTATCTAAAACCTTAATAGAAGATGGTTCAGCAATATTTTGATCCAATAAAGCACGTTCCAAAGTGCGTAATGGAAGATTTGTCCACATTCCTATTACTACTAAATCTATATCACTAAAAAGGAAAATAAATTTTTTGCATATTTGAAGAATTTCTTAATAATAATTAAAAAAAATATATTATTATTATTATTATTATTATTATTATTATTATTATTAGAAGATTTCATCATATATATAAATTAAAAAGCAATATTATTTAGTTATGGGGTTATAATAATTTGTTTAAAAAATACTTATATATTTTACATATAA